CGTGCAAAGCTGAGAAGATTATCTCGCCTGTCCGTTGATCAGAAGGACAGACCAGCTTCAGTGCAGCATCCACTGCAACAAATGAGAACCCTCTGGGATCAGGTCCTTGTCTAATCCCCATAATTGTGTTTCCATAATGGATTCCTGCACTGTCGGACAATTTATCAGCAAATAGCCTCTCTCCCCTGACATCGTAATGGAAAGGACACAGTTATTGACAACGTTTTGCCGATAAAATCAAACTTGTAGACAATTGTACGATTCTTCCATCCTGAGTCTTTGTCTGGATGAGCTGGACGAGATGTATGGAGACTGATTCAACAATAATTATGTCACACTGCAGTTGTTAAGTTTCAATCAACAGTTTTTCATTACGTTCAAAAACTCAAAAAAACTTTAACAATGTATGACGCGTTTCTTTCTTTTCTTTACGAGCAAGATGAAATAGTTTTCTGAATACTATAAATGACCTGATTTTTTTAACTTTCAGCATTAAGAACTTCATGACCATAATGATCAAAGAGACACCATATAAGGTGATATTCTGTTTCCACATAATGTAGATATTACCAACAGAATACATGTACAGAACACACTGGAAATGTCAACCACGCCTCACAGATCGATATTTTGTTCTCGAGAGCCAATATGTTTAGAATCACGTTTCCCTCATACACACAAAGTAACATTATTAAGAAGTGAACATGAAAACATCAAATATTAATCAACTCAAAGCAACAAGCTCACAGTGTCCAATATATGAAAGTATTTCATGCAAACATCCATTTTCTGTTCTAATTTGAATAAAATACATAATACAGCTTCCATTAAACCATGTTAAAATGATCAGGAATCTGATCAGTGCTGTTCATTTTATGAATAATAATCAGCCCATCATCTCCATCTTGAAACTACCCTGGCCCACTGTTTGCTTGATTTATGAGATAATCCTCTTACGCATTCCTGGAACTGTAGGTTACTGAACATGGCATCATGTTTCAACTCCCAGTGACTGCTTCATTACAAAATCAATACACCATCACCTGATAAAAGCTATTTAAAATGTGTAGACTGATCTTATCATCTCAAATTAATGCTGGTGGTTGAAAATAATTCAATATGACACATGAACAGACCTGTATCTTCCTTTCATAATAACATTGGATCATTACTGAAAACATATTTGGTTTAAGATCCAGACCAGAAACTCAACATATATATTTCAGTTTGTAATATTAACAAATTCTTACAATGCAATTTAGCAGGAAAGTATATTATATATATTTGCTTCAACCATTCACACATTCCATCAGGGTTAGATTTTGCAAAAAGAAATATCTTAAATCATACATTTCAACAGAGACCATATAATAGATTTTTTTATATGGTCTCTGATTTCAAACCAAAATAGCCTTACATTATCAAAAGCGAAGACATATGTGTCGTCGTGATGCACCTATTTTAAAGGTTCTATCCTGACAAAGATTGCACATGGAGTCACGTGGTTTTGAATTCACATGATACTGTAGTGTCACTAACCCCGGCTTTAATACTATCTTGACCATCAACAATACACATGATACAGAGACGGTGGGGTGGCCCAATGGCTAAAACATTTGCTCATCACGCCGAATACCTGGGTTCGATTCCCCACATGGGTACAATGTGTGAAGCCCATTTCTGGTGTCCCCTGCCATGATATTGCTGGAATATTGCTAAAAGCAACAAACCATACTCACACATGATACAATACATTTCGGTCATATCACATCAAACTACTCCGTGCAGGGTACATGAATTTGTAAAAATATGCACAAATTAACTTTTGATGCAACATGGAAAAAAGAAGATTCGTTTTCGACATCTTATCCATGCAAATTGTTCATGAGAATTGATCTCTATCATTGTACTGGAGACAGAGCCATTTAATTGGGAAGGGAGGCATCAAAAAACTATTTTGGTTACGCCCATATTATATGGATAGAAAATTTCAGTGATATGTAACTGTGAGAAATTATGGAAAATCGTTGTATGGTAATCTTTCAAAAAATTCATTTTCACAATGATTGACCAGAACTGTTTGAACCCTGCAGGTATACATGGTGTTACCGAGAATCGGTATGTTCAGGATCCACCTAGTGCTCCATCGTATCAGAAACCCTGCTGGTGGATACTAAACTATACAATAGGGATGCAGTTTATGTGACAGATGGATTCACGGGGATTGGTTCAACATAACTCCAGGGATCCATGGTTTTATAGTTGTATCCCCACTATATATCAGTATTAACAAGGAACAACCTCCACCGAGCGAGAGTGAACTAGTTTTAGTATGCTTTGTTTCAGTTAAATTCTAGTTATGTAGAAGCTGGGACAACTCCTTCAATGACCAATACAATGTTTTTGAAAAAATAAGCAACTATATGATCTTTCATTCCTGAAGTATCTGACCCTCCCCTCATCCTACTTGTGGTGAAGCCAGCATGCTCTTGTCTGCTGAACAAAACATCCACAATATACAGATCCCTTACAGTTACACTATTACTTTGACAATATAGTACATACATTATAGAGTATGTATGATCATAACGTGTTACATCAACTGATTGTAAATATATTCGCAAATTGAAAAAAGAAAATTGGATCTTTGTCCAAATTTTCATTTGAAAAACACAATTTAATTTAAAAGGGAAAGACCCTCAATTAAGCTGACCAACAAATGGTCAAGAAGTTGTTGACGAGTTAAATGCTATACAATGGGAGGAATGGACCACATATTTGCATGTATGGGGAGTCGTGCTTGCATCTTGCGCCAGTAGCTTGTGTTGCATCATTCACCCGCTACTAAGTCCATGGCAAACACAAGTCATGACACCTCAACATTCCTGTTGACACAGACAAGTTGTTCATTTCAACTGGTCAGGGGCCTTTTCAAAAGCATGTACACAAACCAGAAGAAACATTTGAACATACGATACAAATCTGAACAATTGCATTTATAAACACTATGGAATATAAAAGTTTCGTGCCAAGTGGATTATCAGGTATTTCATCTTACCTGATTACTTTTATCAAAATAAGGTAAAATGTGTTATGACACCAATGGGGGAAACTCAGATGCAAGTTGACATATTTTGTGGTAGCATCAAGAAAGAATTTTATATATTTAGGATCAGTATTGCCAGCTTGTTTGGTGACTGCAATACACAAGTACAGTTCTAAGATACGTATCAATATCTATTGTAACATGAACCAGTGGAGAATAATTCACTAAATCCTAGAATTCACCACATTTGATAACAGTCTACGATTCCTACTGATTTTACTAGGATACATATTCATGGCATCATTCTTTTATGTATCTATAATCATATTGTGAGTGCATTTTGTTCACTTTGTATTTAACACATTAGCACTGTAATCATAAGCAAGAGAGACATTTAAGAAAAGAAACATAAAAACAGTTTCAGCAAGGCAATTTCATTTGCGTGATAGTTGGCAAAATGTATGGCAACTGTCTATGCATTAGCAATGTAACATCACTCACATACATTATTTATCACAACTTCTTCTGATGAAAAAAATGAAGAATGAAGACCATTCCCTTTGTCATATTAATAGCATATCATGTATATTATTAGAATATGTGATGCAAAAATGCAACATGTATGCCAATAGAAGGGTATGAAATTAAGCTTCAAAATCAATGGGTTTTGACTTTCATGTGAAAATATAAACTTTTGGGTGTGTCTTGACCAAATATTACATGTGGAAACATGAGAACAACAGGATCGCTTTTACTTGCCAACACTGAATACAAATAACTTTGTATTCAAACAACAAGAAACTGTATTAGCACTTCATGGTTAGGATTCTATTTGGCAAACCAACAAGAAACTAGGCAGTTTTTTTAACCAATTAACACATACCCCTATATCCTGGAAACATTGCAAACATTAATTGACCGAGTAAGTGCCTCTTTATATCACGTCAGGGATGATCCAAAGGATTTTGTGGAGTCCCAACGCCTTTGATCTGTTTCACATATTAACATTATCAACCCGGGAAAATTACTAACAGCTGTGCCGAGAGTGGGAGCGATATAACATGTTTTGGGCTTAGAATACTGAGTACGTTACGACAACTCATAATACCACAGTGGTGATCCATGAAATTATATCTCTAAAATTAGACTTTTAATTAGAGGATAAAATATCAGAAAAACAGGAATAACGTTGAGAAATGAAAAGATATGCAACAATAATATGCTTATCACATGCCTACCTTTAACAGTCAACAAGAATAGATGAATAAGTGTAACAACAATATATCCACGAACCCATGGTATACGTTCCTACTATGTTTTTTTGGAGCCGCTATATGATATCTGTAGCATCCTATCCCTAGAATACATGTGTTTGAGTATTAGAGGAAAGGATGATTCGAAAACATGGTGGGAAACTAGTTACAAAATATAGGTGACGTACATATACTATAGTAAAATCGTACCGTTTTTGTTGGTGTTTTTTTATCACGCCTTTAGGTTGTTAATTGGAATTATTACTTTTCCAGTCGCAATGAACAATCAAAGTGTGAAGTGGCGTGCAATAAACAATAGAATACACAAAAACAGTCGCCTGTAGCGCACAGAAGCTAATTTGACGACGTATCCTCGACTTGTCAGTCAACTGGCTCAGGCACTGCGCGTGTTGAAAGCGTGACAGTCCAGCAACACTTGCCGTTGACGAACTCATGTTGATTACACATTATTTATTGCAATTTCCCCGCAGACGACATCACTGTCCACAGAATAAGCCCTACATACAAAATTTTAAACCAAAAAACAAAATGGAAAAACATAGACGACAAGTTTAAATCCTTATTGTAAACCCCGACGCTACTATAATCCACTAGCGTGAGTCATTCTATAGTTCCCTACACTTGCTTATGAATGGGTTTCAAAACAGACAAGCATTGTACCGATGTTTTTCTCGACTTACCATATGTAGCGGCGTATCCTTGGTGCATGCAGCACACACATAGCACCAAAATTAGTAATCCGATGGAATTATGCATATTCCAAGTTAGAAACTGTCACAAAATTCACGTCATATTGCTAGTAATCAAATCCCATCCCTCGCGTACAGTGATCAAAGCCTTTTGTTGATACCGCTACCTTCGTGCAGAGTTACCTCCTACCGCACTTTCGTATTTTAAAGGGAGGCAATTTGTGCAATCAGTGGAAATATTATGAAGCGCTAATAAAATATCTCTGTTTTGTTTATTGCGCTGAAATAAAAAATGTACATCTACAGTAGTGAGGCAACTGCACGCTTGGTAAAATTAGTACTCTTTTGGCAACAAATTCATGTTTATGACGAGACAGCTGAACAGTTTTCTCTCTGAAGTAAGATATAAAAAGGACATTTCAAAAATGGCTGCCACTTAAACTTTATTTGACAGATGTTCCACTCAGCACAGAGAAAAAACCCATGTAAATCAGTGTAATATTCAGCAGGTGTCACATACACGTAGCATTTGACACGAGTATGTCCCAAATTCATTTAACGAAATAGGTTTTAATCAAACTCAATAAATGTAGTTCCTGCGGATGGATATATTTTACATTATCTCTTCTTTCGTTGATTTCTAGTCACGGATGTGTGCTTAAAACACGTGCTGACAGTAAATTTTATGGTAGTAGTATTCATCTAACCATATAGGCAAGTCGTGTCCACGCAGTCCTAGGATTCTGAGACGTTGCTAGGAAATTCCTCCCGGTCTAATTGGTCAATCATGAAATCATGCAAATTGAAATCAAGTTGTACAAACACTAATTTGTTTGTCTGACACAGCACAGAGTCTGACGAACATAATGATCTAAACACCAGCTGGCAATTGTCCTAATTATACCCAGAGACAATATCGCAGGAGCTAATTACAACGTCTAGACCTCTCGACGGAAATAAAACAGAAGCCAAACAAAAAGCACAAAAACTAAACGGATCTTTTCTTAGTATTGGGATCATCTGACAAGGCCGATATTGTCTGCCCACCGGAAAGAACTTTTAGTAGTAAAAAATCAAATTAGGAATCATAACTATGAATAGATATTTTTATAATCTTCACCATAAGTGAGTGAATGAGTATAGTTTTACGCCGCTTTTAGAAATATTCCAGCAATATCACGGCGGGGGACAGCAGAAATGGGCTTCACACATTGTACCAATGTTGGGAATCGAACCGTACGGTAGGACGAGCGGGGGATTCCAGGCTACCACCACCGCTCTTCAACATAAATAATATCACCAAACTATTTGTGAACCCCAACATTATTATTTTTATGGTGTGCACACTATATATGAAATTATGTATCTGTACTTATTTTAATATGATCACTATGAACTAACGTGTAATGGATGCGATTCATTCTCACATATATTATTTGAATTAGATACTGTTACTCACCAGACTGCCACCGTACCCCGACACAATGGGTTAATTTCGATCACAGCACCAACTGCGTGATTAAACAACAAACCCTTGTGCCGGTGTCCATGTCTGACATGTAAGAAGGGGATTCGGGTGGTTACAGCAGTGTCGGAGTGAGACGTGTATTGATGGATAGGTGACAGGAGAACATCCACTCTCATTTGAAAGAATGGCCTTGTTGAATGAGTGTGCGCTGACCAGGGCTGGTTGTTCGAACACACGACGCAGTGATGTGTTTGGCCAAGGCTTTACCGTATCAAAACGCCGCCATGTGAACAAAACACTGCTATTTGTCGATATTTTAACTTTTAAATTTAGTTTTGTAAAATTTACTCCACAATAACGAATACGACAGCAAACATAAAGGACAAACAAAACCCAGAATTAAATTAGTCCACAACAAACCATCAAATAAATACCAAAAGAAACAAAAACAACAACTTAGAAACTAAACAAAGAAAACAACAACACTCATGAAAACCCAACCAAAACGATCACCAAATAGTTAACCAATTACAGAATCAACCAACCAAAGAGCAGTAAACTATAACATATGTCATATTTGGGATTACACTTTCTTAGTAAAGTACAAATTCTAGTACTTTTGTAGGGTTGAGTCCCATCCGGGATTCGAACCCACACCCTCAGAGTCAGGGACCTAATCGCCAGCACACAAAGTCAGAGGGTCAGATGGTGTTGATAAGAAAGTGTAATCCCAAATATAACATGTTACATTTGACCACTTTCTAATGGCATTGTGTAATCACAACACTAAACTAATCAACCAAACAAATAGAAATGGTCCACAGGAACAACCAACCTTCAGACAATGAATAAACAAACAAGCATGCGAGCAAGCATTAAACCGAAACTACCAAGCAAAGTAACAATTAACAACCAATTATGCAACAGCACATACACATAAATAATCAAATGCATACACACAAACCAAAAAAAAGAAGAAATAAGCACCATACAACGTATACAAACCTCACAAACAAGGAACCAACCAAACAAATGCAACTAGCCAAGGAAATGTAAATATAGGAAACACCTGACCTATAAACTAACCAAACAACGAACCAGAAATTAAAACCAACCTACCAAACGACATACTTACATGTAGCTAAACATCGAACCAAAACAAACAAGCCGACAATAATACCAAACATCACATCGTAAACAACCAACCAACCAAACAATATGACAAACAAGTCCTAAGAAACCCTAACCAATGCAAAGAAGTACCCAGCAGAACAACCATAAACCAAAGGAACAAACAAGCACCGAAAGAAAGCAACCAAATAAATAACTGAAACACAAACAAAATAGAAAATATACCAGCCAAACAATATACAAACTAACAAAAATCAAATAAACAAACATGCACAATCACAAACAGTCAATCAACCAACCAACCAACCAACCAAATAATTTACCAAACAGCCATCCAATTAGCCAAGTAAGCAGGTAAAGAACTACCAGTTGTCTGACGTCCATATTAGCGGAAGCCGCGCTGGCTGAGTTGGTTAGATGGCTGACTTTGTGTGCTGGCGATTAGGTGCCTGACTCGGAGACTCAACCCATCAACAGTGCTAGAAACGTTACTGACAAAATGTATTTGGCATCGCGTATTCAAATAACAGAACATCAAACATACACCAAAATAAATGAAAGAATAACCAACGAAACAACAAATGAAAGTATTATATATCACAACACGAAGATGAAATGATGCTCCAACTGTAGAAACAGACAAACTGAACAGCCAACCAATCAATAAAATAGAGAACCCACAAACAAGCAACGAAACAGACAAAAATACCCCGAGAAATTAACAATCAATAAACCAACGAAACAACCAAAAAATTAATAAAATACATTAAAAACAACAACAACAAGACTGACGTCCTCAAAGACCATCCTACCATACCAACAAAACAACCAGCCATGCAACACCCAAACGAACACAACAACCGAACAAACAAATATACAACAACAACAACCAAGGTTTCAACAAGAAAACCCCGACAAACCAATCAAATACAAACAAACACCAACCAAGAAACAAGATGAAACTAGCAAACCGAACAAATACTTAAAGCAACAAACAAACAGAAGTCAGCAATAAATTCACCGACCAACCAAGCAAACAAGGAACACAAGCCAACCAAACAACTAAACACATCAACGAACCAACCTGCAATATAGCCAAACAAACAAACAAACAGAAGTTAACAATAAATTCACCGACCAACCAAGCAAACAAGGAACACAAGCCAACTAAACACATCAACGAACCAACCTGCAATATAGCCAACCAAACAAACAGAAGTTAACAATAAACTCACCGACCAACCAAGCAAACAAGGAACACAAGCCAACCAAACAACTAAACACATCAAAGAACCAACCTGCCAAACAAACAAACAGAAGTTAACAATAAATTCACCGACCAACCAAGCAAACAAGGAACACAAGCCAACCAAACAACTAAACACATCAACGAACCAACCTGCAATATAGTCAACCAAACAAACAGAAGTTAACAATAAATCCACCGACCAGCCAAGCAAACAAGGAACACAAGCCAACCAAACAACTAAACACATCAACGAACCAACCTGCAATATAGCCAAAAAAACAAACAGAAGTTAACAATAAATTCACCGACCAACCAAGCAAACAAGGAACACAAGCCAACCAAACAACTAAACACATCAACGAACCAACCTGCCAAACAAACAAACAGAAGTTAACAATAAATTCACCGACCAACCAAGCAAACAAGGAACACACGCCAACCAAACAACTAAACACATCAACGAACCAACCTGCAATATAGCCAACCAAACAAACAGAAGTTAACAATAAATCACCGACCAACCAAGCAAACAAGGAACACAAGCCAACCAAACAACTAAACACATCAACGAACCAACCTGCAATATAGCCAAAAAAACAAACAGAAGTTAACAATTAATTCACCGACCAACCAAGCAAACAAGGAACACAAGCCAACCAAACAACTAAACACATCAACGAACCAACCTGCAATATAGTCAACCAAACAAACAGAAGTTAACAATAAATACACCGACCAACCAAGCAAACAAGGAACACAAGCCAACCAAACAACTAAACACATCAACGAACCAACCTGCAATATAGCCAAACAAACAAACAGAAGTTAACAATAAATTCACCGACCAACCAAGCAAACAAGGAACACAAGCCAACCAAACAACTAAACACATCAACGAACCAACCTGCCAAACAAACAAACAGAAGTTAACAATAAATCTACCGACCAACCAAGCAAACAAGGAACACACGCCAACCAAACAACTAAACACATCAACGAACCAACCTGCAATATAGCCAACCAAACAAACGAAGAATTTAACGAACCTAGAAACAAATAAATCCACAAACAAACACGAAACGAAGGAACAAAATCGGATGACAAAACAAACCCGCACAATACAAATAACAGTAACAAAGAAATGAACAGAAAAAAACACCAAAACTAATCAAACAAGTTACAAAACAAACAAACAACAACCAATCAAAATAGTAACGATGTCAACATGACAAAACAACAACCAGAAGCATGATACAAAGCCAAATGATACATAACCAATCAAACAACAACTAAGCACACAACCAACAAAACAAACAAAAGAAC